AATTAGCGGCGCTAGCGCAGCAAGAGACTGCAGAACGCTCGCCACATCGCCGCTCTCTTGGGTTGCTCTTCGTTGCAGGTTACTGTTCTTTCCCTCTGTAGAGGCATCAGCGCAGTGGCCTTCTTGCGGTTTTACCTGAGCAATTGAATTGTGTGGCGCGCAGTGTGGAAGAGTCTGTTCTCACTCTTACCGGCAAGGATATGCGAAACCAGGACTGCGAAGTCTATGAGCCTACATTCTGCCTACAGAACCTTCATGAAGTGTTGGCTGATGTAGCGCCTGGGTGCTAACGACACTTTTTATATTGCAAGCCCAGTTTATAAGTCATATACTGTGCCACTGCTTCAGGGATTTACTTCGGCTTCAGGCGGTGGGTCCCCGGCGCTTCTACTGGATGCGCTTGCTTGTGCAGTCCAACCGGCTGCATGCACAGCCGTGGAGCTTGGTGAAAGCCGTATCTGTTCATCAGGAGGGATGGGTAACCCGCGTTCTTCGGCTCGTTGCTTCAATCTTTGTCGCCTTTGCTGCTCTATCTGTTGCAGCAAGATCTTGCCATATTCGTTGGGCATTGCGCTTTGCGGGAGATAACAAGGGAAATCAGAATTAAGTGAGCCTGGGGAGGCCTTGAATGCTCTGGTATTAGGTAGGAAGGCAGCAGATTACACGTAATCTCACTACATTTTGGAATGGATCAGAGACCTTCCTGCGGCAGGTCTACCAGCATGATCTGCAGGCGTGCAATGCATGCTTGCCCCCTAATGCACCATTATTCTAGTTACGATATGCAACTAAATTAAAAGTGCTCGGCCTACTACTGCTTTGTCCTCCGTGTGCGTTAGGGACTGGTGTTTGTTCTACGCCCTGTGCCAGTGAGGGCGACGCCGTACTGAGCCGCGCCTCCTAAGTCATGCGAAAATACCATTAATGGAAGGATTCAAAAAATATTTCGATGATTGTAAGCTGCAAAAGAGGGTATGGAGCATTTCCGGGGGTCGGAGACGCTTCGCTGTGCAGCTAGGCGCAGACGCCACGTTGTCCACTTGCTTGCCGCTAAGCGAACAGGTTTTGGTTCCACTACGTGCGTCAGCCTTATCCAAAACTCATTTCATCTCATTGGAGAAGTTTTAGCTTTGGTGTAAGGCGATGGCCTTGTATGGCGAACCGCCGCTACTGAAGAATAACCCGGTTCAAATGTGGGGCCGGTGTGATGTTACTACGCATTTATCAAACCAAGGGGACCACTCTCAAAAGGTGAAACACTACAAACGATGTGCATCACAGTCGAGTAAAAATGTATTTAAAGGAGCGTTGGGCTTCCTGAGATCCAGGCGTGCCTCAGTTACGTACCATTGCATCCAAAGTGACCCAAGCATGCTCTTGGCATTATACCACTTAGCTGCTAGGTCAGCTAGCGGACACGTGCCTCTTGGGTATTATATTTCCCATATTTAAAAAGCTCGTTACGTTTGTTTTTGGAATATATTGACTATATAGTTGAAAAGACATATGTGTGGAAGCCCAATACCGGCTGGTGCGTTTGCGCTCCGTGCGCCAAGTGCAAGCTCACGAAGGCCCGGCGAACGGGCAGATGGCCCAGCAGCAAGTACTACGCCCAGGTATTCATTTTGATACGCTTGGAACAGAACTGCTCCACAGAGCATTACCTGCAGTACGTCAATAACGGCACCGTGACTTGGACGTCATCGGCGGATCAGTTATTTACTCAGCTGGGGCTCTACAGGCTCAGGTTGTGAGAATAGCTTTGGCCTTAGCAAATGGGTTACTGCCAAACGTACAACAAATCCGTGGTTACTGGCCATGGAACCCTGATAGGGAACTGGATGGAAGAGGAGGTCCTCCGGGACGCTTCTGGGCACACTCATCTGGATAGGTACTCAAGCAACAGAACGAAAAAAAACGCCGATCCAGAAACGTGATATCCAAGTCAATTTGCATGAGCCGAGACTAACAAGATTAACAACACTAGGCAGAAATGTAATGCTTTTAGGGAGCCTCACGGAACTGTTCCTGGGCGGTTACATACACTCACTTGTGCAGATCCTATGTCATTGGCAACCTGAGTTACTCTACTGTCAACGTATATGCGTATTGAAATCACTGTGATGTGCAGCTCCCCTCATTTAGACACATTCATGCGCGTTATGGGAGACCGGCCATATCCAGTGTCTGAGACCTTCGTCACCAGTGCTGGTCGCCGCACTCATCCTCCTCCACGCCAGCAAAATGGAGTGCAACAGTTCACGCAGCGTGAGCTTGCTTCACGCAGAATGAAAGAGCTAAGTTCTTATATGAACGAAACGTGTATGTTTCGCTCAACGGCAATTGACGCCGCGGCAGTAGAAGCAGCGCTCAAAGAGCGCAGTGAAAACAAGGTGGGTAGCGCAGCCAAGCTACCTAAANCTGCATCCTACTCCGCTATGCACCTAGTGACTGCAACAGCCAGGGGGCGAGCCTTCATGCCCTTACTGTACAGCAGTTTAGCTCTGCGAGTGTGCGTGAACGTTCCGAGATTGACAGTGTCAGCGGCCTACGAGTGTGCATTCCCAAGTTGAATGCATGCGGCTTCCCAAGGGTGCCGCGTGTTGCGTTAAGCGAATATAGATGCAATACTTATGAAGGTGTTGCAGAACTCATCTGCGCATGCCGAACTCGAGGACAGACACGAAACAGAATCGTCCGCAAAGTACAAGTTCCACGTGAGCAGCGCCATGCTCAACAACCCAAGGGCTGCTCAAAGCGTGCTATTGCGCAGTTGTAAGGTGTCATAGAGCACCTCTACTCCATCATCCTTCTCAATGCATTTCGTAGATTTCGTAGGCCTTATTGTTGCAGGTACCTGATGCCCAAGAAGCGAAGGTTTTAACCCCTGAAGACAATGCCGAGAACTACTTCCGGAAGGTACAATGGATAGCCCCGTTTATTTCTACCGTTTTGCTTGTGCTTGCCTGTCAGTTATATGCACTAGTTAGATCTCACCTTAATTGGCAGGTGGTTCCAGCCGAAGCTGACGGTTCCACGCTAGGCTGAAAGTAGCTCTTTCGAGATCATCACACACTCACCTAACCCTCTGCTTAACTAAAGCTGCATTCTTGCCAGTGTGGCTCCGCATAATTCAACAGCAAGTGAGGTCTGGAACATCGGAGGGTGCCGAACTTGTCAGCCGTTGGACTGAGCTAGCCAACATCCGGAGGTCAGAAACAGAGCCCCATACCTTGACCAGCTTGAGACTGATAGCGACCCTGCCGGCGGTTTCTTCTCTGCGCGCCCGAATCGTTGCCTTCCTTGTCCTATAATCACGGTTGTGGATAGAATTCTTTGCTTGCGACCTGCAGTTCTAGTGTACAGCAGACCTCATGCTCAGGGAAAACGATGTTTGCGAAAAACAACTATTTCTCGATCCCAGTACAAAATTCGCTACAAGTATGGAATCCACCACACTCATCGGGCCGGCACAAAGTAGAAATTGAAGAGTGTTGACGACTCAAGCTCATTCGCATGCTAAACAATGTTCATTTCTTTTATTGCCCTTTCTCGTCGGCTACGCCCCTGCAGGGTTTGTGCAAAGACACAGAGGTTCTAGGAATTCTCGAAAAGTCTCTGAGAAGCCCGAAAGAGCCACACACTGCAGCAACCGAGGTGAGGTTAACAAATGAATTCTGTCACTATATTGAGCCAATAAAACTTTCCTGTGCCGATGCGTAGCAACGTCCCCACCCAAAAATGGCCATGCGGAACAAAACAGGCAGAGCATGCAGATAATCGTGTTTATTAGCTGCGGCGGAACATCAACCTCGTACACTTCTGTCTGCTGACGGTTGATGTAGGCTCCTCAATCAGCGCTGCAGAGTTTTAAACAACGCCTTCGAGAAGCCATTAAAAGGGCAAAAGGATGCCTGGGATTTCTCATCCTGAAAGCTGTTCTCAAGTAGGCACGATATCAAGAGTCCACGGAATAATTGTGGTTCCTTTAGTCCCAGGGCTAGCAGTATTTCCACTAGCCTTCGTTTGTTGTGGAGTGACACATAGGGAGCTGAGCGACGTTCGCGGTCTCGTTCCAGCACAAGAAGTGGAACAGTTCCTCTGGGACTCGTTTGGTGTCCAGTCAGCAGATATCGTAAGATGCTGCCCAGCGTGCGAGCTTATCCAACCTGCAGTGTTACGCCTCGATTGTGTTCTGATGTTGGACGCTGCGCTGCGTATTGTTACGTTTGGTGCGTGCAGCCTATAGAGCACTTGCGAAGCGCCTTAAAAATTCTGACACTAGTGGACAAGGCATCTATAAGGACTTCTGACCTTGTGGAGTTTTTATGGGTGATATTCACACTAACCAAGTAATATGTGCGGTAATCCTGCAATTGAAGAGCTTCACTAGCATGTGCTGAGTGTCCATCACTTTGTACTGCACAGACAGTGGCTCGTCATCCGTTGGCAGGCACCGAAACGATTGTTGAGCTGGTCCTATATGAAAAGCATCAAATCCTGCATATTATAATCAGTTCCGCCACTTCCGGCAATACATGCATTACACTGCCGTCTTCCTGTGGTTCTACATAACACAATCTAGGTATACGCAAAACGTAGGTCTCGAATGTAATCTGGAAGCCTGCCTCTTTGCCTAATTTTTGAAGGTACCTATCGAGTCTTGCCGAAGAAACATCCTCGTAGCCTTCCAACAGGTTGCCGCATCTTCGACGGATATAGTAGCAGCGGGGTCCAGCGCTGCAACAGTACGCATCACTCATCCCCGACCACAAATACAGCTCAGCAGTATCCCGGAGTTCCTACACCCTTTCCTTTGTGAGAAAGACAATTGTGGCCAAGTGGCGCTTCCACTCGTACTTGAGGCCCTCGTGGTAAGTGGCCAATTGCCAAAAAGAATAGGAGTCATTAAAGTCTATCCCTGCAAGGGCCACTACCGGAATCTTTCTGGGAATCAACCTTTGGCAGCGCAGCCTTCCCCTGTCTTCAGGACTTGAGCCAGGGCATTGCTGACGACGCAAGCTTCCTAGCGACCGTCTGCGATATCGCGGAAAAGGAGGGCCTCCATTTGTAGGTGATCGCTGCTGATACGAGGCAGCGCTCAACAGTTTCTGACGAACACATCAGGAATGACGGCAGAATCACCACGAATATATTTGCAGCGTGACCTTGCAACGTGCGGTTACTAGTATTCAAATTTTTAATCATTTGTCGTGCTCCTCCGGATCCGTCTTTATACCTGCCCATTTGTCATAAAAGAGAACGACGTTTTAAAGACATTTCTGCTACCGGCATCAATGAGGGCAGGATAGGAGCCGTAGAGCGATTACGCTTTGAGAAGGCACACGGTAGAATATGCTGCAGACGATGCTCTGCTCACCACTGGTTCAGCAGATTGTTCCACACTGCGGAAGAAGACAAAAACCTGCTCGTTCGGAGTATCGTCCATCGGACGAAATCATGTTGAAACCTTAATGGTGCACTTCTATCGAATGCCGGGACTAATACTGACGCTTTGGCTGGTTGTTAACCCACCAATCGATTGAAGGTGTTATACCTACTGAGCTTTCTAAGAGCCTGCGCAGTCCTCACGTTACAGTAATTCCATTTGATAATTCAGTTAGCTGAAGTAATGAGCAAGCAACTGTAGGGCCTTTCTATACTTGCATCATTCCCAAAAATAATGGCCACCACTAACTCAACTTAAGTGACGAAAATCGGAATTCTTGGCGTGTTTCGCGTAAATCATTACACTTTTGTTCTACTGCTCGCTTGCATGCAAAACACGCCTGCACGTTTAAGAAAAAGGGCACGCTCTAAAATGGTCCAGCCTTCCCAGCCTACGACAGCCTGTGGTCGATATCTAGAGTACACCTAAAGCCGAAAAACGCTTGTCTCATCGAGCACCCGCACGACTGCTTAAAAAACTTTAATGTGCAGCTGTCAGAATTACTGCGTAGCCGCATAACGAAACTTGAAGCGTTCAGAGAGTTTTGTACTTCTGAAGCTCCTCCCCGGTTTGAAAAACTTAAACATGATCCAGACTGGATGATGATGGGCGTTGAAAAGTGTAAGAACACTTCAAAAAGCGTAAGTGCTGCGCTGGTCATAAATTTGCGTGCGCTAGCGACACGGTGACGACCCGATATAAGTAAAATTTATTCTCTACAAGCTTCACTTTAAAGGGGCTTTCACTCCAGAAGAATGTAGGAGATTCGTGCGGCCTGTGCGAACGAGCCTATCAAGGAGATGATCTGCAGCTTCTAGGGTTTCCGAGTTGCTCATAGCTGCTGTGATTGAGCCGGCCTTCATGCCAGCAACAGCCCGCTGGAGCATAACTCGCTTGACAGACCGGCGTTTACTGAAGTACTCACGAACTCGCGAAAAAGAACTCATACCTTTTCGCAAAAGTCTAGAGATAGCTGATCCCAAGCACATCTGAAGGCGCATCAGTGTTTTTGACTGGTTAACGACAATGGCGATCGCAGAGTTAATAGTTAGGAAGAGGGAAAATCCTCCAGCTGTACCAGAAAACAATCCAATGAGAAAGACCTGCTCAATCGCCGTCACCCACGCCATGCCAAGCGAAGCCCCCCCAGGAACAGGGTTGCAGGCCATTTCTTGAAATATCGGGTTCCACAAGCAGTCAAGTGGAGGTGTCGCTCCCGATACCACTAGGTTCTGCAAAATGTCGAAGAAGCTCATGACCGCATATATGCCCATGAATGTAAGAACGAATGAAGAGATGATCGCAGCCACTGCGTGCTTCCTCCTAGTAGAGATCCAATCCAGCACCATGTTCCCCATAAACGGAGCCTGCTGACGCAGATGAAGTCCCAGGTAGTGGTTCCCTAGACGCTGATGGGCGCGAGAGGAAAACAGAATATAGTAAGCAAACATTGAACCTTGTCCGCTTTCCAGACCTTTAAGCTCATCTCGGACTTCTTTCGGAGTTGAATGATCGAAGAAATTGAGGGCCGCATCGCTCTTTAATATCATGCGCCTCGAATTAACAAGATTTGGATCTGAAAGGTGCTTTAATGCCCACGATGTGCCGAAGGCCTTCTCGTATTTCTGCATCAGAGTCGGGTGCAACATAGAAGGCAACATGCTGCTGAGAGCCATTTGCCACAGGCCTCTGCAATGGTCAATACACATAGACGCTTGAAACTCGACTTCACGTAGCCCTTCCGACAAACCGCCGTAGCCGCGACGCACACCCAACATTCCCATATTTCGCTGCACAAGCGGAGGTACTCGTGAAATATCTGAACTTTGTATGCGAATTTGAGTCTCTACCTCACGTAGGAGAGCCTCTTGCATGTTAATCTTGATTGCTAGCCTTGGCTCAGTTTCTATCACAAGTTTCAACTGGTCAAGCAAATCGTGTAGCTGCTCGAAGTCAACAGTAACGCCAAACCATACACCATGTTGTCTGCTGGGTGAACGATACAGAAGTCGCATAAGCGACTTTTTTGCACCTTCCCAAAGGCGCTGCAGAGGACCTTGTCGCTTCCGGTGGGCAACTCTTGTGAAGAACAGTGTTTGGCCGGCATCAGCCTTGAGCTTCCGAAGAGAGTCATTGACCAACGTGAACACAGTGTCTTCAAGAGATTCCAGGTGCCTTTCTAAAACCAAATATGACTCTAGTCCCTTCACCACAAGAGAATTTAGACGGGCCCACCAATCTGAAAGGTCAGGCAGTGGAAGGCCGTTGAGGTCGACTTTCCCCCATGCTCTCTTGAACGTATTAAAATCAGTATGTGATTCTAGTAATGTGGGCGCCAAGCCATGGGCCGCCCAAGCTTTTATCTGTTCGTCCATTATGGCCGATATCGGTTTGTCTTGCAAGAAAAGTGGCCGTTCTTCGCCAACAAGCCTATTGAAGTCCCCCACAGTTTTATCGTGCTTCAGTGAGTGAAAATTCATGACTTGCATGAGAGCCGCGCTGTGAACAGTGAAGCTAAAAGGGTTCAAGAGCTTCTCGAAGAATGTAGAGGGCAACTTTTCTCTTAGAACTGCACACACGCATGCACCAACACGGTCCACACACATGCGATTTCATAGGATTGATCATACGGGAGATCCCCGGGAGCAAAACACAACAGAATCACGTCTGCTCAAGCCAAATANCTTGTTCGCTTGAGTACCCCTGCAGTAGACCTAAAAAATAGATTCCTAACGAAGCCTGGGACAAAGCCATGAGAGTAAAGGACCTTTACCCACGTCGGGTTCTGAAGAACAGTCTCCTTTTGTTGTGGGTACCCTGATGCGACACAAGAACGCAGCTCCTATCATGTTTTATTGACGTGGCAAGGTTTTGGCCAAATTTCTCGAGAGTCATGCTCTTTCTATACAATTGGGATACGGCGTACCTTCCCGGGCGCTGAGGAAGGCAAACAACCAGATATGCGTTGGGCTCGGCAATGGCGCAGCAAGCTCTGTAACATTCTGTGTGAATGGCGTGTCCCTGATCGTCAGCATAAGCGGATTCCTCGCGTTTCCTAGCATCATCTGGATTGATGATAGCATTGTAGTCCTCGTACCTTCTTCTGACGGGGGACTTGGAACTACGATGTGAGTTCAAAACAAACACACGATGAAACATCATGAATTGCACTTCAGACATGCTTCCGGGTGGCCGGGCCCTTTCGGCAGTATGTAAAGAGCTTACGAATTGCATAGAGAGCCATGGCCGCTCTCATCCCATCAGGGGCTGATCGAAGATCTTTCAGGCGATCGGCAGCGGCTTGCACTTCATCATCTAGACTTTCGCGACCAGAGCTTCGCAACAATTTTCTACCAATAGAATCCATTCCCACAGGTCGAAGAACGTGTAAAATATCTGAAAACAAGCATGGACAGGAATGAATGCGNTAGAATCCATTCCCACAGGTCGAAGAACGTGTAAAATATCTGAAAACAAGCATGGACAGGAATGAATGCGCGTTTGAGTCACACCAGGCGGCGTGAAAAATGACTCGTTCTTTGGGATCGAATCCTTTCATGACAGATCGTGCTGGCGCTGAATGCAGGGTAGGAGAATCGGCGGCCTCAGGCACATACTTTTCTGGAAATCCTGTGTAGCCTGTTTCGTGTTACGTTTTTCGAATGCAAGCCAATAGCTTGCCGCTGTAGACACGTCACAAGTAAACCCATAGAAAAGCGAATTGCATCTTAGCGTCTTAAAAGAGAGGGATAGTGTGCGTCATTGCACTTGGGAACAGCTTACCGGCATCTAAGGACGACGTTGTAAACATTGTGGCTACCGCCAGGTTCAGTCTCTCCAAGACTCGCTCTATGCCTGAAAAATGTCGCACAATCATAACGGTAATTTGCTGCACGGGGACGGCAAAGCCATATCCGGCGCTGCACTGCTTAAATGAAGCTTGCCTTGCTCAAGCTGTTCATTCACTGGACGAGGCAGCAGTCCCCAATCCGTTCCCGTTAAGCTTCTTTCTTGTCCTGCGGATGTAGAATCAAGCATACCACCACTTATTACAGGATGCAGGCCAGAAGAAGTTTCTTCAGCGTCGGAAANGATGTAGAATCAAGCATACCACCACTTATTACAGGATGCAGGCCAGAAGAAGTTTCTTCAGCGTCGGAAACTTGACAGCGCTTGGCACAGATGCACTAAAAACAGTCAATGGCTTACGCGAACTAATCTTGCACTCCACCGCCCCTGCAAGGGAAGCACAAATATGAACATGACTGCATGATTTAAAAGTATAACGTGCGATTCGTCCCTACTTGTATTTAGTAGCTTGTAACTGCAAAACGCTAAGACGGCCTACCTAGGCCCGTGATTGTCGTGTGTGCTTGTTTCAACAACTCTGCCTTGGCGCGATGGCGAATTTGCTGGTCAGTATCATCCTCCAACTTCGTCAACTCCTGGCTATCTTTTGAAAGCCGAGATTCCTCAAAAACGCAAGGTATGTGAATGTACCCCTCTTCGTCAGGCACACAGGTTTCTGCATGTAGACGTTTCATGTTCTGGAGAGGCGAAAGTCCAAGCTCAACAGGCACTCCCGCCTCTGTCAGCGTAGTTATGTGACCTGTAACGACTGCAAACCAGTAAACAAAT